CCGGGTGTCCCACAGCCGCGATCCGATGCATTACAATGAGTCACGCGAATTTGAATGTATATATATATATATATATATATATATATATCAGAAAGGGGGGAGAAAAGAAAGAAAGAAGCGAGAGAGAAAGGAGGAAGTAAAGTATAGGAAAGAAAAAGGAGAGTGAAAGAGAGAAAGGGGGGAGGGAGAGAGAGAGAGAGAAAGATCATATAAATATGAGAAACTATATATATTTGAAAGATTGAGAGAGAGAGAGAGAGAGAGAGAGAGAGTAACACCGAAAATTTCATGTATTGCACATCGTAATTCCACACGTTGCATGACGAAAGTCATTACTTTAATAGCTCGGAAACTTGCTGTGAGTCGAAGAGATAGTTAAGGGGATCGACGATGATTTGGTAATTTTCTCAGCAACCGATGAGAAAAGCAGAAGGGAAAAGAGAATATATCTCAAATAATTGAGAGAGTATATATATGGTGTGTGTATATTTATATATTGTGTATATTTATAATTGTTATACTTCTATAAAATCTTGATTCTTTAGCAGAACTCTAATTTTCTATTGTTATTTCATCTATTGGAGTAATTTTATTTCATATATTTTAAACTCGCCAACGAGTATTAACATCCATTAATTTAGATTTAAATGTCATCAGAGAGTAACCCGCGAAAATGAATAAGTAAAAGGAAGGAACTTTTAAAACGGTACCGGGTTTGAGTAGCTCGGCTTGACTAAAAAAAAAAAAAAAAAAATTGAAAATGCGAAATATCGTTTGTCATTGCCGATTTCACGTTCGCATTTACAGCATTATGCTTACGGTATTATATTTAATACAATATGAATAGCTTTCGCGCAAAAAAGTTTGCACCGTTGTTGCGGGAGTTCCTTCCATCGTTGATATATTTGACGTTGGCTTGTTGGAGATTGTTAATACTATCTAACAGGAGTCACTTATTAGATGAAAAGAAGTTGCGCGAGGGGCAAGAAGAGATTGCGGGAGCGAGAAAGCGAAGCAATTACTTCGCCTCTCCGTTTAGATTGTTCAAGGAGTTTTATTATTACCTTTTTGCGGTCATTAAAGTCGCCTTGTCGGGCCCATACGGTTCGACGAACTTTTCCCACGGTCAGTCGACATTCGATAATTTCGTTTGATCTTTTCCCTTATAACTGTTCGCTCCGAACGGTTAATTGGCGATCGTCAATTAACCAGGCTCGTGCTGCTGCACGCATCTAATATCGTCAAGCGCAAGAAAAAAGACTTGAAATCTAAAGAAGTTGAGAAATATTTTTATGAGAAAAAAATAAAATTAAAATTAAAAAATGGATCAAAATATGAGATTAAAGATTTATGATTATTTAGATTATATGAGATTAAATAATGAGAATTTTTAATCAAGAAGTAAATGCGATAAGAATCGATTACAAATGAATATCGCGCATGACACGCGAGCCAAGCAGATGTTTTCAAGATGTCAATGATCACTTTGGTTAACGAATCGAAAAATGGACACTGTTCGCAGAGTCATGCTGACAAATTGCCTAGCAAAATCTCGGGATATCGTCGCGTCGAACATTCGGATTTACCGTACTTAGAGCGTCTGATACGTTCAACGACTTATGAAATTTTCGGGGACGTAGAATTGGAACAGCTCTAGTACTTATAATGAATTATCTCGGAGCTTGCTCGTTCTTATATATCGGCAAAATAATCTTATATATATCGTGCTTTCAAAGTACCGTTATATAAAATTTCAGCGAAACTTCCTGTCTCTCGGTGATCCAGTATAACGACAGACATGATGTCGTTTCGGGGATATGCCTCTGCAATTATCCCAATATTCCATCTGTGCCACCATGTGATTGGTTGATTTGGTTAAAAACGATTTATGGGTAATCTTTCTTCCATCTTCAGTACTCTGTCAGAAAATAGCAAAATTTAGAAATCTTTCGATAGAATAATGTCGATCGATTCATATCTTGAATGAATGACCAGCGAATTTTATTCAACTGGCATCCTTTTTCGAAAAGGATCTCTGCTGCCACGGAAAGAAATACAATGTTTGTACACTTGCTAGTGTGGGATGAGCGTTATTCAAACGATGAATTCTTGAAGGAGCTGTTGGCCGCGATCTTTGACATTACCACCTATTGCCAACACGTGATTCTGGTGGTACCTCCTCGAGTTACGCTAGGTGATATTTTCTATCGATCTATCTTTCGAACAGCGTATTAATAAATTACGCTTAGTTTATTATAATTCAAGAGTTTCTTATTATCACATTTTTCTAGCGAATATATTTGAGCGAGATATGATTAGAGTACTGACTCAGAACACGCGAAACAATGCGTTACAATTTTTATATTTGAGCGATCGACAACAATTACGTCCCAAACTGAAGATACGAAGGGTCGTGTGAGTCGATTTGGATGGATAAAAAAGTAAGGTTCCTTGTTTCATTACGATTTTTATTTACCACTTATATACCAATAATGAACTTGTTGTGGTGGGCATGATTGGAACAACAGCATCAATCTTTTCGAAGATTATATTGAAAAATGGTCATTAGCTTTTATTTTAACACAAGTTTATTTGTGGATAAGTGATAATAAAAATCGTAATAGAATAGGAAGCCTTATTTTTTTATTTATCCTAGTATATTCGTAAAATTTGCCATTTTTTGCGAAAGCTGAATTTTGTATAAATACCTGCATATATTTACGATAACGATATAGCGAGGAGGACAATGACGACGTAATAACGATTATCGATGGTGAAAATACACACCTGAGGGAGCTTTATGGGGATTATTACATTAGCGAGATGATTCGTTATCCGGACGGCTGTCGCCAATTGATCATCGGCGAAGATGCCGATGGCTCGGTGGCGGGTGTTATGTGTCTCAACTCCACAATCGACGTTAATCTGTTGAATGAGAATTTCGAATTGACCCCGTATAATGGTTTAAGAAAATCGCACGAAAACGATAAACCGCCAATTGATGTCGCCAAAACGACCGATTCAAGCGAGTTTCTTCGAGCTTCTGTGTCTTCGCTAGAATCGCAAGAATATCGGCAGCAGCGATTCGATCGGAATTTGAATGACGATACAGGAATGATCAAAGTAACTCAAGATAAAAAAAATTCGGAAAAGAAAGGTCAGTGCTTTATCGATAATCGAATTTGACACTTATACTTACGAGATACTGAAAGCTTTCAATAAAAATAATTTAAGAGAGCCATAATTTCGAAGAATCGAATGGAGGAGACGGAAAAGAAATTTTTCTCGTAGGTAAAAAAATAATTAAATTTCTTAATAAGAAATTATGATAATAACTGTATCAATGAATAATTATATAATGCGTGTATAATGCACATGAAGCTTCTTTGCAAGAAAACAAAACGCTTTATTTGCTGTTAAAGACAACAACATGACGCAGATGCAATGCATTCACGATATTCTGCCGACGTATCACGGTGAAATAAATGCCTTCGTTTTGGAAATTTTCGCTATGCGCGATGAGATGAGACCTCATTGGTCTTATGATTTCTTGAAGGCTGCTTTTGATTGTTTCCCGCATTTAGAGTATTGCGCGATTGCTCTCCCTTTTTCGCATCCATATCATCAGTTTCTTCAACATTTCACGGTATTTTTGTCATAACAATCATTTCGATTAATAAGTATATACGAGGAAGGAGAAAAAAATGATATTTTATTATGTTTTCGATTGAAATCTCATATAAAATGTAGCGCGTACCATTGAGATGCAATAAAGATTTTCCGATGACATTATACATCATACATCGAGCGCTTCTTCGCGAAGAGATAAAGTGTCGTCGCGCCCAAGTACGAGACCGAAAATCTGTACAAGAACTTTTATTCGCTATACCAAATCACAACGAGGTCTTGGCCGACTTTGATTTCGCGATGGATCCTTCGCAGCTCGATTTAGATTGTTTTGTCTTTGAATGCAACGATACAATGATCGGACTCGCTTTATTACGGTTATTTTACGTATATCGATACAGTTTTTCTTATAAAATATATTTATACCAAAGCGTGAATAAAAATATCTTTTTTTATCTTATTGTAGTGCCGAGAAGCAGATAAATTTTATTAAAAAACATTTTCATATAGAAGATTACGTGTCTATGCGGAGTATTTCTCGAGATAATTACGGACGCCTCTTGCATTTTATTCTCATGCCGATTTTCTCCGCTTACCATCGCTTCTTTTTCCGCGAGATCGCTCGTTTAAGCGAGTTAACGGTAATCTTCTATCGGCTTCATCACGAAGATGAGAGTGCATTGGTGAGGTTTATGATAATATTCGATTTATGATTCGGAAGATATTGTATTTCTTAAGGACCCAGTCTACTCTAGCAGAATGAAAAATTAATATTTTTTTTTTTTTAGGGATATTAGAAATTGATTTCTTTTGCCGTTGTATATGTTTTTATTCATGTTTAAATAGTACGTCAATATTTTTAAATCTTGAATATTTAGTTTTTTTTTTTTTTTGGTCGATATGAGCCTCTGCGGGTAGCGTGTTCAAAAATGCATATTTCGATGGTGACATGCTCCTCGTGTAATTGTCTAAAATGAATAATTTGTGATTAAAAAAAAAATCACTGATAAAATGTTAAAATAAAACGTAATTTGCAGACACGAATGCATCCTTTGGTGTCTTGTTTGGACGATATGATTCCAGTTGATCCTCGTAGACAAGCTGAATATAGATTCCCAATTATTTCGGAAAATCTCGATAGCTGCGAAAATGACGTAAAAACTGAAGAGAACGATAACAGGTTCTCTTTATTTCTAACGTCACCGAGATTGGCAATGATGCAACGTGCAATTATCGATATGAAAGTAGTCATCGTTGGCGCATCGGAATGTGGAATTGCTTTTGCGGAATATCTTGCTTTCCGGTAAATTTTTCAATTATAAAATATATCAGTCTCTACATAATAATTTTTCAAAAATGCATTTTTTTTAATCGTTAATAATATTGATTTATGATAGATCAATGCAACATTATATACAGTTTACAAATCTTACATTGATATCGCCATATGGTATACCCTTTGATAATAAACCAAGCCGCGCAGGGGTATGTCTACTTCCATTTAAAGGAAAATTTTGCTCAGAATATCGTCGCTGTGTGATTGCGAAAGCTTGGATCAATATTGTTTATGGGATTATGACAGGGATCAACAGGTAATAGTGTAAAGCTCTTTTAACTATATATTATATTTAACTTTATTTTTAATATGAAAGAGATGTATTTTTTATATATTCTTATTTCCTCTTCCTCTCACAATCGATCGCTTTAATATAAATCATATACATATGTATTCGCGCTAGAAAAGAGAAATATGTGAATGTGATGAATCAAGGAAATGTCGCATACGACTATTTGGTTTTAACGTGCGGCTTGCAATATCAAAGATCGATATTACAAGGAGAAACGGAAACCCGAAAACGAGAGTAAAGATTGTCCATATTAATGTAAAACAATCGCCAAATCCTGTGGCTTGTATAACAAAATATTATACGTTACAGTTTTATATTTTATAGAAAATACTATACATTATATATATTTTCCAAGAATGAATACAGAAGAGATGAGACCATGGAATTGTCTTACTATAAATGACGATACGGAAGCTTCTATCTGTTTGAGAAAAATTCGGTTGTTAACAAAGGATCTCACAGAAAGGAGTAAGTGCGATGCATAATTTAACCAAGCTACTTTGCAATATTCTGATAATATCGTCTCTGATTACATTAGAAGCAATACTCTTTTATGGTTGTAATATTGATTGCTACTGCGCACTGGGCGGTTTAATCAAGTTCGGTGTAAAGCCTTCGTGGATCACGTTGATCAAGCCGATCCTAAATCCCCACAATATGCACGACAAAGTCTTTTTCAGTGATTGCGAAGTATGGTTAAGATAATAATCACTATTTATCTATAGTTATATTTCTTTAGAAATATATGTTGAAAAAAATCAACATATACAGTGTTCCATAATATGTGGGATCCACTTCAAAATGTGTTTTAGCATTTAAAAACGATAAAAAAATTTTATGTAAACATATGTTCTTTAACTTTTTTTATTGACTTTAAATATTAAATACATTTTTGAAATGGGTCCCACATATTACGGGACATCCATATATAAAACTTATATCATCGTAAAAAGATACGATAATATTATGTTCGTAAGGTGCACGAAACGATGATGGACGCTATTTTACGGGACGAGGTTCAAGTTTTCTGCGAATGGAACATGATCGATTGGGTTCTGATAAAAGACAATAACGGGAAACTGATGATCGAAAGCATCACGATCGAGAAAGAGGGCAAAATAAAAAAGTTGATCTGCGATGCTTTTTTTAACTTCTACGAGAAAACGATTAATTTAAACGCATTTTTAGGTAATTTTCACTATTGACACTTTAAAGCTGTGTTTAATCGATATCGCGATTTTTCACACGAGGTTTACGGTTTCAGCATTTTCTCGTGCCGGTCTCGTTTTCGACGGTTTGCTAGTCATAGATCCCGAGTGCCGCACCAACGATCCGTTTATTTTTGCCGCAGGTACTATGACGAAATATTCCAGAAAGTTTTATTCCGAATCACAGCAGCAACACCAGCATTATAATAGTGTAGAAATCGGAGAGAGAGTTAGTATAAAATAGAGTTCTGTCCTTTTTTTTTTTTTTTTTGAAAATGTAACATTGTCGATTGTTTTCACATTCGCATTCGCACTATGTTTATATCGAAAGCTCGCCCAAATTTTACGAAGAGTGATCGATATTCATTGGCGGGATGAGCAGAAAGAAGAAAAGCTGCATTTGATACTTCCGATATTTCGTAAACCCATCGTAATCGCGTGCATTTTGCCGGGTGATTATTATTATTTGCATGTGCACAAGCCTGGAAAGGAAACGTGGGATGAGATGATGAGTAGAGATGTGAGTTTTAGCCAAATTATTTGGAACACGAATAAAAACGTTGCTATTTCAGCATTGATAAAATTTTGTGTGTCGAAAATAATTCGTATAAATAATTGCATTGACGTAGTTGATTTTCACATTGCACAGGGCGAAGTGCTTATAACTGGTTCTTGCACATCCGAAATTGGGTACTTCCGTATTGGATTAAACGCGTATGACTCGGTGGAAACTGTAACGTGCTTTAATAGAAAGGTGGCCTTAGTTCAATTCATTTATTATATTCATTTATCTTGCCACTTGAAATGTAGATATGACTTCATCTCATAATTATTTTTTAGATATTTCAAGTGCAGAATATGATCGCTTTGTATGGGAAACACGAGAGTATGTTGAACGAGTTAAAATTCCGTTTTCGAGTAAGAACAATTAATGAGAATATAGAGAGCAATTTATTAAATTTCGACATGCTTCTTATTTAATTTTTCATAATAATCATTTGTTCTCGCCCGTTCAGAGCTCGTATATTTCGGATTTTTACGCGTACTTTCGCGAACCTTGGGCTGCAGCGATTTTTCATGATAAATTTGAGTGCCTACGAGTCGAAAATCGAGCTACTTTGCTGTCGCAGACGGTAAGACATCGTTTATTCGATACATCTATGTACATCGATATTTATACCGCACTTATTTTTTCGCTATATAGGATTTTTATAGCAATTCCTTGATCGATGATTGCATGCGCGCTTTAATCAAATCCAAATGGAAAGCGGTGAGTGATTTTATTTACAAGTTTTCATTATGAAAAACATGTGTATTTGCCTCCCCTATAGGAGCTATCAATCAATGCTCCAAGATTGAAAGAATTCGATATTTAAATATAGATATCCGAAGAAGATCGACGTTACATCGAATACAAATACGCTGGCTCAATTTATCATCGAGAACTCGAAGACAATCTTATGAATTTCCTGGAATTTTGCGAAGATGATTTATCGATGTATTGTACACCACATAGACAACGTCAAATGTATATGGACATCGAAAAAAGTCCATTATATTTCGAGCAATAGAACATTTTTACGAACTTTCAGAAAACGATTCGAAGATAGATAGTCGAAAAATGTATTATTTAATTATGAAAATGTTTTATGTTTTAATAAAATAAATTTGGTGTTTGTCGCAAAATTAATCGCGATATAAAAAATAAAAAGAAAGCGATTAAAGTGGCACTATGTAAATGTCCACTCGATATCCCCTGCTTGCATACGCGAAGGTTGCATCAACTATCGACACGCGATGATGATCGACGATAGACGGAAGGTGGTCACGCCTCATTTCTGCATGCAAACATTTCTGAATCAAGATAAAAGCCGCGCGTGCGATCGCAAAAGTCATCCTCTCGATAAATGAGTCCGCGTCTACTTACTTGGTATACGATTCGATCTGTGTAGGTCAAGTTTAACATTCCGTCAAGTTGTTCCGTAACTAGCGCGGCGTCTCTCAAGGCATTCATAATGTCACATCACCTACGCATTACCATACATATTATACGCCGCAGGATGTTTTAGGAAGGTCGTTATAGAAACGCGGGCACTGGTCCAAGAGAGGCGATATAGATAAAATTTTAATACATTAATAAATCCTCCGCGTTTTTGCTCTCTCTCTCTCTCTATCTCTCTCCCTCGAAGAGACGAAAGGGGAAAAAATGTTCGGAATAAAAAAGATTCAACGTGTGTTCAAGTTTTTCTATTTTGTGTTTTCACACTTTGTTAGAATCTTGATTTATTCTCGATTTATTCAAAGAATACATTCGCTCGCTCTGTTTGCAATTTTAATTCTTTTTGTCTACGCCTTTTCATGTGATTTATTACGGATTTCATCAGTCTTTTTCGTGTTTCTTTCGTAAGTATGTCGCCACGTTTTTGAAACATATCCAAAATCTCGCCGAAACCCTGAAATGTTGGGTCAATGTCGTGCTATTCTTACCGCTGGCTTGTTTACTGTAAGTTTATAGCGTGGTTAAAAATTTTCTAGTTTATCACTAAATGAATATTTTTTTCTTGGCCATAGATATATTAAAAATCATGTTAAAATGAATAGCAATACCTATGAAAAAGGGATAAATCCTAAATCTATTAAAAAAATACGCGAGTTCTAGGATATTACATAGCATGCAAACTTGTGTATTGATTACTTATAGACTTATGTAAGACCATTATGTAAGAAGAGCTAATCTGATAGCACAGATACATTTTAAGACGAGACTGTACGTTTGTTACTCTAAATAATAGGATATTCTTTAATTATCCAAGTCGTACGTTTCAGTTCTTTTTGGACCATCTTCAGCATTAAATAATTAAACAGAAAAAAATGAAAGAAAAATAAAAGATTACGCATTGGATAATTAAAGAAAAAAATATTATTTTAAGGCAATTGATTTATGCCTTGTTTGCTTTTAATTATTTATTTATTGTTTATTATTATATAATGGCCCATTTTTTGTTTTTATATTCTTATTGGTAAGCTGAGTAGTCATTTAAAAAAAAATTAAACGAAGGAAGAAGTTATGTGATTTCATACTAATTGTAAGAATCAATGTTTAAAACAGCAATATCAATATAGAAATCAACTCTATCACATTATATTACGTTATATCATAACGTTAACTATCTATCTTGATTGCTCTCTTTTTTTATCAATTTGAATAACTGAATAAATTTTCTCTTTACAAGGGAAACATGCTGAAGTCTTACCCCACTCGACTTCCCACAAACAGAGCTGGTGGTACTCGAGTGATTCGCTTGACAGTGGATCAGGAAGCAGTTCTTCAAGAACAGTTTAACAGGTGGCCAAGGGCACCTCATACCGCGGATATTGTCCTGCTCGCGGCTGAAACTGGTCTTTCCGAGGCTGACGTTGAAGTAAGTAAATATATAAGATTATATAAAAATATTAGAACATAACGTGAACGTGAAAATCTATATATTATTCGATGAAACGAATGAAATAAATAAAGTATGATAAAAGTGAATTATGTTCTACAGGGATGGTACGCTATTAGATTGGCTCAGTGGCGGAAAGAACAGGGTCTCGGCGGGAATCTTGGGTTACATTGATTGTTACCGCTGAGAGACTTCACCTCACTTTTGTACCTGATGTTCTGATTTATATATGCACAGGCAACTGAACTGATGGCAAATTATGCGAAATCTATATCTTAATTATGCGTATACCTTATACTTCGTCTATAAAATTGGTTACTTAGCAAAATTTCAAGTTTTATTAGGTTTGATAGAGTTGAGTTTTTAGTGTGTTTTATTAAATTTATAGAAAATTCAATACACAGAATGGGTTTTTTTTTATCTGAACATGTATAAGATAGCTAAGCAACTAGACAATATATATACATATAACTTGTTAATTTAAAATCCCCTAGCACAATATACTTGTATATATCGTTTACGTCTATTAATCATAAAAAATAAAAAATAAAGAACAATACTTAAGAGAAAAAGAGAACATACAATTTATATTATATAATTTTGATAAAAATATTTATGCAGTGTTTATATTAGAGGAAGTCTAAGGTTCATTATATCAATGGCCAGTCTATGTACAGAAATGTTTTATTCTTAAATTATGCACAAATTGCAATCAATACAAATGTATCTGAAACAAGCAAGTTGGGGGATATCTCAGTTTTTTTTTGGCTGCCACAAGAATATTCAGATAAAATGGCAGCTGTTTTGTTAGGTGTCAATATATTGCATCAACCACCATGTGTGTGTTTTTGCAAAATTCATGAGACACGTCCGATTAGTTGTTGTCATATCCGGAAGAAGAGAGACAACTGTTTTAAATTGATATAACTGATTTTTAATAATATTGTGTGTGATAATCAATTTAAAACAATTGATCATATCTATTTTATAGCTTAGTATAGTAAAGCTAGTTTATTTGTTCAGACATCCACATTTCGACTAAGTAGTATTATAGTAATAAAGGTATGCGCTAAGTCTGCACTTTAGCTAGATATCATAAAACATGTATCATTCCTTCTCTGGCACATCATACATTGGTATTACTAAGTATACGTTTACTTTCTTTTTAAATCATGAGAAACAATGCAGAAACGAACTTGATATCAAATCCTAAAGTTTGATATAGTATGCTTAGACTGTAGTAAAAGTAGAAAAAAAGAGAAAAAGAAAAAGAGACTAAATTACGTGAAAAGTGTATTCGGAAATAAAAACCGACTCCTGTGCACATCTGATCGTGTTATATTCGAATAAGTCATTTTTCGCAATCATCATGATATTATTAATCAACACTCAGCATTGAAACATAAAAATCTAAATTATTTATTTATTGTTTATTATTATATAATGGCCCATTTTTTGTTTTTATATTCTTATTGGTAAGCTGAGTAGTCATTTAAAAAAAAATTAAACGAAGGAAGAAGTTATGTGATTTCATACTAATTGTAAGAATCAATGTTTAAAACAGCAATATCAATATAGAAATCAACTCTATCACATTATATTACGTTATATCATAACGTTAACTATCTATCTTGATTGCTCTCTTTTTTTATCAATTTGAATAACTGAATAAATTTTCTCTTTACAAGGGAAACATGCTGAAGTCTTACCCCACTCGACTTCCCACAAACAGAGCTGGTGGTACTCGAGTGATTCGCTTGACAGTGGATCAGGAAGCAGTTCTTCAAGAACAGTTTAACAGGTGGCCAAGGGCACCTCATACCGCGGATATTGTCCTGCTCGCGGCTGAAACTGGTCTTTCCGAGGCTGACGTTGAAGTAAGTAAATATATAAGATTATATAAAAATATTAGAACATAACGTGAACGTGAAAATCTATATATTATTCGATGAAACGAATGAAATAAATAAAGTATGATAAAAGTGAATTATGTTCTACAGGGATGGTACGCTATTAGATTGGCTCAGTGGCGGAAAGAACAGGGTCTCGGCGGGAATCTTGGGTTACATTGATTGTTACCGCTGAGAGACTTCACCTCACTTTTGTACCTGATGTTCTGATTTATATATGCACAGGCAACTGAACTGATGGCAAATTATGCGAAATCTATATCTTAATTATGCGTATACCTTATACTTCGTCTATAAAATTGGTTACTTAGCAAAATTTCAAGTTTTATTAGGTTTGATAGAGTTGAGTTTTTAGTGTGTTTTATTAAATTTATAGAAAATTCAATACACAGAATGGGTTTTTTTTTATCTGAACATGTATAAGATAGCTAAGCAACTAGACAATATATATACATATAACTTGTTAATTTAAAATACACTATCACAATATACTTGTATATATCGTTTACGTCTATTAATCATAAAAAATAAAAAATAATGAACAATACTTAAGAGAAAAAGAGAACATACAATTTATATTATATAATTTTGATAAAAATATTTATGCAGTGTTTATATTAGAGGAAGTCTAAGGTTCATTATATCAATGGCCAGTCTATGTACAGAAATGTTTTATTCTTAAATTATGCACAAATTGCAATCAATACAAATGTATCTGAAACAAGCAAGTTGGGGGATATCTCAGTTTTTTTTTGGCTGCCACAAGAATATTCAGATAAAATGGCAGCTGTTTTGTTAGGTGTCAATATATTGCATCAACCACCATGTGTGTGTTTTTGCAAAATTCATGAGACACGTCCGATTAGTTGTTGTCATATCCGGAAGAAGAGAGACAACTGTTTTAAATTGATATAACTGATTTTTAATAATATTGTGTGTGATAATCAATTTAAAACAATTGATCATATCTATTTTATAGCTTAGTATAGTAAAGCTAGTTTATTTGTTCAGACATCCACATTTCGACTAAGTAGTATTATAGTAATAAAGGTATGCGCTAAGTCTGCACTTTAGCTAGATATCATAAAACATGTATCATTCCTTCTCTGGCACATCATACATTGGTATTACTAAGTATACGTTTACTTTCTTTTTAAATCATGAGAAACAATGCAGAAACGAACTTGATATCAAATCCTAAAGTTTGATATAGTATGCTTAGACTGTAGTAAAAGTAGAAAAAAAGAGAAAAAGAAAAAGAGACTAAATTACGTGAAAAGTGTATTCGGAAATAAAAACCGACTCCTGTGCACATCTGATCGTGTTATATTCGAATAAGTCATTTTTCGCAATCATCATGATATTATTAATCAACACTCAGCATTGAAACATAAAAATCTAGTGTTGTTAAATATAACTCTACTAATATAACCATAAATGAAAAACTCAATTTCCTCAAGTAAATAGAAAGGAACATCATTGGGAATACCTTTGAACCAGAATTTTTTTACAGCTGCCGCCTACCATTGTTACATTTAACAACGGAAATTCATTTTCCTTGCACATCGAGTTGCATCTTAGTTATGTCGCATTCGTTTCAATTTTTTGCAGAATTATTTCTGATAGAGTAAAGAATTGTCAATCAAGTAATTAAAGCATTTTTTAATACGTAACATCCATGAAAAATACGCTGAATAATTTATTAATCGAATGCTATTAAAGGTGAACCAAATAAATCCGAGATTATCAAATCACATCGTAAGTACTAAGCGCGACATATCTAGATGAAACCTACCCAGAGCGATAATTGACGTACGAGCCGCGATTATCCAGCCTAATATCGGATCATTAAACGTTAATAAGTGACTAAGGTGTACTATAAAGTACATCCGAAGCACTGCCACATAAGTTAGGAGCTCGGTATAAAAATGAGGCACAGTTTCACAATCAGGGAATCCTTCTTACCAAATGCTATCCTCTATCTCCCAATGAATGTATCCATATATCAAACATGACAGTGTAATTACCATCATTAAACTAAACCATGCATGGATATTAATATGTGTCCTTAATTGTGTTTAAGGAGAATGACGATTTCTTAAACTGTCGTATTCTTATATCGGTAGCAAACAGTCTTAACAACGAGCGTAGACTAATCATGTCGCGTTCCATAATCGTGTAATCCTTGTGTCGGTATGCGTCATGTTACGTGCTGGAAGTTAACAGCTCTCATCAGGTGTAACGTGTAGCAATGTTGGTAGCAATTGTCAACAACCCAATGGTTGTTTAGCCACTGGTACCGTTAACCAAAGCTTCCTTAGGCTTATTGCTCTGTTGCATACGAGGAGGACGAGACCGATGTTCTCTTTGGCCTTTAGGTCCTTGGGAACTGTTGTTAGACATAGAAACGTCGTTCGCAGGTGTTCCTTCCTTGCTATTCATTGTTGATTGGTCGCACGGGCCGGCATTACTGCCTAAACAAATGCATAGATTAACTCTGAATGTTTTCATATATACAAATGTGTATGTGTGTGTCTAGGGTGTCTACTCAAATTTTGTAAAAAAATTCTCTGATCTTCCAAGTATTTTTGCGATTATTACCTATATTGTTTTAAATTACTGAGAATGGCCCGATATGGAGCTGAAATGTATAATTAATAAACTTTACTGAATTTAAGAAGATTCATATAATTTTAACGCTTTCTTCCCAGCGCGCAAGAGAATTTTTTAGTAAATTCCTCCAGGTCCCAATAAAATACCATGAGAATTTCCTGATTTTTTCAAGTGCAAAAGAAATCTCTGAGAATCCCAAGTTTTTCATATTTTTTCAGGAAGTAGACACCCTGATATGTGTATTGCGTGTCAACCTATATAAAATACGTGACAAAATACTTATTAATGGATACATTGCGCTTCTCTTAATATAACCGATCGTCCTAAAGAATCATCACGCAAATCTGCTGGCTAAAGATAAGATTACCTGTTTGGTTATTACTTGTTGGCGTTGAACTTCTTTGTCGTGAACGCCGAAGTCGTCTTCGTCTTATTCCTTTAGATCCTCCTTCCACACTTGATACCGATTCTATACATACACAAACCATTGTGACCATCTGTTTAGCATGTGCAATAAAGAGACTAATATTTAAAAGTACAATTAGCCAAAGATAATTGGAAGTTGCGCATACGTTAGCAGCATGCATTAGAGTTAAAACTCGACGATAACATTAGTGTTAGATGGTCACAAGAGTTTGCTTGATATTTCATGCTAATCTCAAAGCATTATAACACGCCACATCTTTAGGACGAAATGGTTATGATTGTGATCACAAATGTACACACACATACACAGGACGCACATACATCGATATATAAATATAAATATATATATAAATAATACTCGAAACGTCTTGGCTGTCTAAAACAGTATCTTCATCATCAGTAGTACGACGACGTTCATCTCTACGATCTCTACGTTGGGTTGGAGGACGACCTTGCCTGCCACTCATATATCCCGAGTTACCAGCACCTCCCTGATGGCCACCTCTTGGCGGTAAATCTCGAACACGATCCTCATTGCTGTCTAAAGCATCTCTACGTAATCCTAAAAACCGCACGATCAATTGTAAGATTTTTGATAAGTGCAGGCTATTATTTAGTAGATATTTTTAGTTGTATTTTATATTGACTAATTTATCACATAAGCCTAAAAAGTTGTTACGATATCAAAAGAAATAATATGTCATGAAATGTTTTCGCAAAAAATCTTTATCTTTACAATTCAAAAATTATGTTAAAACTGAAAAATTATGCTAAAACTAAAGTTCACATTTAGTAATATTTCCTAGCGATACCGTCCTTTAATTTGATATATCGAATAATAATATTACCAGCATTATGTCTGGTGGGGGCTCTACCCCGAGAACCACGTCCCCGAGACTGGCCGCCACGACCACCACGGCCGCTGACACCTTCTTCCGGTCCCGCGACCATTCCTCGTCTTGTGGGTGGAAAACTAGGCATTGGTCCTGTAGTCGACCCATGCATGCTTCGTAATTGTTGATCAATTTCCAATTTTTCTTGTCGAAGTTGTTCTACTTCCTACAGTACGAATCATAGGATAATGCCTCGATATTCGCATTTATTTTTTTGAATTATGGTTTGGTTTTAAATGAAATATATTGGAAATTTTAACGTTTCGATGTATTGTTATGTACCTTTAAATGTGCCAAATGGTACTCCAACAGAACTTTGGCATTGGCGATGCTTTCAACAGTCCCGACAAAGACGAAGGGGACCTGACCCTCCTCCCGTGGAATCGTTGGCTGAGGTTCGTTGTCTCCTTCTATTTTTACCCTTACCTGAAATTCGTATTTATTAAAATTGCGCTTTTTGACGCATTTACAAGTACGAATTACCAATATATGAGACATTTAGAATCGATATTTCATATCCATACCATCAGTTTTCAGTCACTGGCGTTTGTCATTTCCATCAATAGACTTGTTGACTAGTCTGTGAAAATTTGCTTAAGTATTCTTTACATCCTTAATATCCCAAAAGGGCTTTCGCGTTTTTGAAAAAGTTATTTGTCAATACTTTTACCTTTTCTCGAATAAGATTTTTTTAAGGCAATATATGTAATTGCATTTGTACGATTTTACATTAGGCAGGTGGTAATTTTATTATACATTAGTGTGATTATAATCTTTCTTTTAGAGATACATGAAAAAAAAAACAAGTTAAGATTTCTTCTTTTTTTTTTAATCTAATCAAATATAATAATGTTAATGTTCATGTTATTGCAAAAATAATTTTTTTTCTTATAATATCATCAATCTCATAAAACAACCACATTTTTTTTATTTAATAGGAAATTGATATAATTTTTGTACAAAAAGATCACCCATGCGTTAAATTTATCTAGTCCCCATCCATTTAATATATTCTTATTATTGCGACAACAGCAAATGCCATGTCATATATCTCTCCAATCGTTAACAATCGTAAATTTTCAACAAATTAAATGGATTGTAAGAGCATACTTTTAAACAATATCCGTTTTAAAACATAATAATCGATGACAAAAAACAAATGCATGGACATGGAACAACTTATGCATCAAGTATTGTTTATAACGCACATGTACATTAAGGTCCGTATACACAATGCACATTTAGCGTCAAATGCGGCCATATGACCATGATAATGCTGAATGCAAAACTCTGATATTTAAAGCAAATAGCATTCAGAATGAGATAATCACATTTAGTGCTAAATGTGAAGTATGAATAGAGGCCTGATTTTATATAAATAAAAGACAGTTATTATTTTTTTCTTTCTTTTTGATACAATTTAAAAGAACTGGCCCGAGTGGTTCATGTAAGATTTGCGAGTGCTTCCAGACATCGATAGATATGAATGACTGATTAAATGAATTGAATGGAATAAAATCACAAACAATAGAAAATGACATACTTACTTTATCAATATGTATATTCCCACTCGAGCCAGTTGTTATCTACCGAGAACAGACAAGGTATATCATATATCACCTAATGTCTCGTGAATAAAAAAAGAAAACTTCCATTTTCAATTGAATATTACTTCACTTTTGAGCTGTAGAGTTTTTAAATATAACCCGACGTTAATAATCTGAGAGAGAATTTGTATATATTGTAATATATAAACTACAATAATATCGCGCTATACTTAAAACGCAACGTTAGAAATTTCGGATAATTGTTACATACCCTGAGAGATAAACATATATCAGTGACGTAGAGGATCTGTAAAGTATTACATGTAATCTATGTATTAAATTTAACAGTTTTAATTAAAAAATTATATTGTATCAACTGAAAATGAAAATTGATATGCTTATATAATATCTTCAACTATTTTCTCAGACATTGTTAATTCAGATACGAGAAAAACCCTACCTGATATTAATTCTGAAAGTATTAGTTTTATACAGACATCCATACATATATACATACGTACATATATACAAACACAAACACAAACGCACACACGCACGCACGCACGCACACACGCACGCACACACACGCA